AACATTTGGTGAAAATTTCAAGTATTTACATTGATTCGCTTTTGAGTTACAACAAAATAAAAAAGTCGATTTCATCGAAAAATGATTATGCGTAAAATGTCCCGTTTTTTCATTACTTTTTTAAGGGTTTTCCTGAAAATTATGAAAACTGCTGGAAATTTTTACTTTCGACTCCCCAAAGTACCAACTAGACGAATTTTCCTTTTCAAAAAGGTACTAAAGTCAGAAATCAAAACATTATTTCTACTCCATGACGTGATGGCAGTCGACAGATATAAAAAAACTTATATAGGTACATCATTGTAAAATCAATACATTCCTTATTTCATCCAGAATCTAAAACAAAAACAAATCAATTTATTTCTAGGTATTTACTATAGGTGTATTAATTAAAAATTTTAATGTTGCATTTAAAAAATATTATTTGCTTAAAATGCTGATCCGTCACATTTATTCTATTTTTGTTAATTATGTTACACCACCATGTATAGTAATATTTTAAAATGGGTCTAGTGACCGGGTGGATTAAGGCGTCGGTTGTGACGTGCACCGTCACCGGTTCGAATCCCGGTCATGGKTGGCATCGCTTTCCAGAAAGTTCATACTGTCTGGAAAGGAAAGGCCGCCGCCCACCACCCAGACATGACAAAAACCTACAGGTGCCCATTCGAAATTCTGTCAAAAACATTCACGAGTACCAAAACCACAGTTCCCTCCCGAAAAATTTACAGGCTAATAGCCCTTGTTGAAGCCTCAACCCCCAATAAAAAAAATAAAAAATACTTTATAATATTTATATATTTATATTAAAATATTTTATAATATAACAATATTTTCGTATAGCAAGATTGATATTATAAAATCACTCAGTACCCATACTCTACAGTTAACAACAATGGCAATTTAGCTTTTACTTAACGGCTACTAATTATTGACGTTGAAGCATGACAACGAGCGCGCCGAATTTTCATTTAACAAAGATCACAAATTAGAATAAAAAGTAGTACTCAATAATATTGTATTCATTATTAAAAATGTATTTTATATAGGTACCGTCCAATGTTCAAGTATTTTAAAAAAGTATTCAATATATTATGGAAAAAAGTATTTGAATCAGGCGTGGCTTCAGAGAAGTCTCTGAGGGGAGRTATTTTTTTTGTCGCTATAACTAAATTGCAAAGGGGGCCTAGAGAATATCCTAACCTAGAACGTAAGTTTGTCAATAAATAATGTTTCGTATTTATACATTATACATGGTATTATTTAATTAAATGTTTTATATAACAATCTGCAGCCTTCATTTTTTTTTTGTTTTACAAATAATTATTTTATTTTATCCACTTTGTCATACATACTAATATTTTGATGTAGGTACGTTTAGCAAGCATAAACCTGTTAAACGATCCTCATTTATCTTTGATCGAAGCCAAGTTTTAACTCTGCTTATAAAGTTGAAAAACTTCTCTCAGCCGATGCAACACTAACTGGGAGTGTTGCTAATATATTTTGCAAATACAATCTTATGGTTGGAAGTATTTCAGTATCATATTTTGTTAAGAGGACGGTATACCCGCACGTGTTGTCTTCGTCTTAACAAGTGCGTAACACGGCAAATTTTACGGTCAACAGACCACGTTTATAGCTCCGTTAGTTTAAAATTTAGAGTGAATTTAGCTCTTATAAAAATTAAAGGTAACATTATCATCAAAGGTTTTTCATAGGCTTTTAATTATATTTTAATTTTAAAGCGAGTTATGTGTATTTTAAAATTAAAATTGTATATTGTTTGTATATATATACTCATAACTTCATACCTCATAACTTGTGAAACACAGAACTTTGCATTGTTACAGGATTATCCTCAAGTGGTACAAAAAAACTCAAGTATTCGAAAATATAGTCTTCAAGTTAAGGTGTTTTAAAATTCAGGAAATCAAAATTCATGTATAAGTATAATTTAAGTATAAAAATAGGGTAGGCATCATGTTTAAAAAATCACTCTGTATTTAAATATGCTATATTTTTAATGGACGAACTTATAACATACGTAAATCTTATCACTCTGCTTTCCACACAATTATTCAAATTCAATACTTATTTTTTTTTATCAATATATTATTGATAATTACTTACTAGTTATAATATTTACCATTTTATGACCTTTGATATACATATATTTTAAAATTTTTATATAGCAATCATTTGTTCATATAAATAAGGTAATATAATAAATATTTTCTAAAAAACACAAATTAATTAATAACGAGTTCAAACTATTTTATAAATTACGCTGCTTATTATATATAACCTTTTATATCGTATTGTCTAGAATTTGAAAAATTCAGTATGCTTTTCATGAATTATTTTGGATTTCACAAATAATAAAATTTTACACAAGTGCAGGTAGGTAGCCAGGTACCCAGGAGGTAGCCAGGATAGGTTATTAAAATGTATTTATTTATTCATACATATTATGTTTAATTCTTATTTTACAAATGAATTGTAAAAACAAAATCTTGTTATTATCTACGACGTACCATGACAACGAATATCTTAAACTTAGAGATATGACTTGTGAGTTATAGCWTGTATAATAGGTAGTTGCTACATATTATTATATTATCGCTCAAAATTAAAAATGACGATGCGCCTGCATGTCTCCGATTATTGAAATGACAATTATCATTAAATTAAAATGCAATAATAGTACTAAATAGTAAATATATATATACGTGTATAACCTACTCAATGGTTGCAACATCACTCGCCGTGGTCGGAGCCGTTGAGACTTGTCGGATAGGAGGTAACACAGCGTGGTACATGCGGCCGGCGCAGTCTCTTCGCAGACTTCGGCTCTAACGCACCGGGCGCGCTCTCCCGCCGCCGTCATCGCCGCAGTCATCGTCATAACTTCACGACGTTCGATCACAAATACTACATAAACCTACTGAATACCGTAAGTACCTACCTATTGAAAATTCAYCCACAAGTTTAAATACAAAAAATAAATAAATGCATTTTTTAGTTTTTCCACACGTTTAAACCGGTCCACTGTCTTATACGTAAGTTATAATCGTATACTTTCGCGAACAGAGGGGATAATATCTTAACTACGACGTTCATATTACAGTCAGGCAATCCTCTCATGACAAGGACTGGTCTCGCGTGTCCTTGAACTGTTGTAGGTAAAAAATAAAAAATTGCTATTATATTATTATAGAATAATATAATATTATTATAAGCACTCGAACACGCGCACGCGGCAGTCTTTCACTTTGCCACGACCAACTTAAACCGCCGCCGCCTGACCGGATTAATAATAATAATAATAAACCACTTGTATTGCTTAACACCTCGACAGTCTGGTGTAATCCAGGTCACCGACTCGCGCGGATGACATAACTTATGGTCGTTTTTAGACCATGCACTTGGGCCACGCATACTGCATATACGCAACTTGACGCAGTGGCCTGTATTTAGACTTTTGCCACCCACCGCGGGCACCTCAGAATTGAGTTAATTATCTCAACAAAAAAATTGAGCTATTTTTTTTTAYGCAACATGCTAAAAGTACAAATTTTAAAAACTTTAAGTATACCTACTTATATAATTTATTTTGTTTCAAAATTATTAAACTTAATGGGTTGAAATAATGAAATATACCCAGCTATACTTAAGAGATTTGCTATCCCTTTAAAATCACTGCCAAGGGAACACGAGACTGTAAACCTAATAAATTCGAACCTCAATAATTACTTGCCCAAATCAAATGTGATGGATGAAGATAATTACGCGGGCATCGTATCACCGTTAATTGGTTGTCGCCTTGTTGGCTGCACTTAGTTCGAACGAATTRCATTATACAATTGCACACAACATGTATTTAAATAATTATTGTGATGTTTATGTTCAATCGTGAATCGTGAACCTTTATAATGTTTACAACGTTTCGATGCCAAACGACTTGAATTATATACCTGCTCGTATCTTATAGTTAATCAATGTCGATTATCGTTTAAATTTCTTAACTTAAATTTACTATAAAATTAATGTTGACGATACTTTTAAATGTGTGAATAATGAGAAGGCTATATTTATTATACGTGTTTATACTGTGGTGCCTGGCTGTACAGACCTCAGACTGTAATACAGACTACAGAGATGCATTTTAAACGTACTCGAACATCATATAATATGTTTAAATAATGTAATGCTTAGACGACTAGGCGTATCTACATACATATACATCATACATGATGATGGTTATGTATCGTGAAATGAATCTTTAATGAATAATGATATCCTACGGGTTAAGGACGCACCATATTAAGGTTGAAAATACATAGCTGTATAGTAATAATCATTGTACACAGGATTACCAACGGTTCGGTTTCATCCGGACGTCGAGGTATTGGCATTATCCGATAATCACTATCTGCTCATATTATGTTCGATCAAAAACTTCGAATAGATCAAATAATTTTTGGTTTTAAATTGAAAATATAACTACTTACATAACTTCAGTGAAACCTATCTTATCAGAAATTTTCCTCCAACGGACGTCAATATGACAATGTCAAATAAACTATTATAAAAGGTATTCTATAAAGTTCCTGTCTATATATAATGGACACATTTTATGGCCATCTGACTGTCCGTTATATACARCAGGTAGCATTGCTGTATTTAATTAAAAAATGTATAAAACCACTGAAATTGTATAGTAATCAGGAAATATTATATAGTAATGTGTTGRCTATATGCTTATAATAATTAGTTATAAGTTATAAACTAGGGCCCGGATTTAAATTCACTTAAAACCATACAAATATGCTCTAAAAAATAGCCAAAAATGTCCTTAAAAATGCAATTTACCTAAAAAAATTACCTTAAAAATGCCATTTATATTTATTTTTTATACAATTTGTTGTTTTAATTTGGAATTTATTATTAAAAAATATTTATTACTATTGAAAAAAAAATTGGAAAAATTGACTTGATGCTGCTATGATGTTGACACGCATATGTTTTGGGGCATATTATTCATTCTAAACATAGATACTAAAATATATATTAATGAATACTCTAAATTTGTATAGTATATTGAAMGAATATGCACCAAAAACACGAATATGCACTAAAACCATAAAAATGACCCAATAATGCTAAAAATGCTCTTAAAACATAAAAACGCCAAAATAAAATGTTTAGCTTTGAAAAACTCGTTACATAGAACTAATTTTATATTTGGAAAGCATTGTCTATGATCACTCAAAAAAAGATGCACTTTGCGTTGAAATCTGGGCCCTATAGTTAAAACGATTTTTACTTGTATTTTGTTTTATAGGTATTCCAAATTGATAAAATGGTTTTATGATTTTAAATTATTATATTTAGGTAGGCACCTCGATATCCGACAGTAAACTCATACTATCCATACTGGATAGTATTTTCTTATCTTTGAATTTTTCCAAGTACCCAATAACGAAAAAAAATTTAAGTACAGGATTAATTTTGAATACTTATGCCCATTAAATTTGTGAGTTATTATGAGTGAATTAAAGATAAAAACACATTTAATTTATTTTTAAAATTGAATTAATCAGTTATAATAGTTTCCTTACCTATCATATTCTATTTTTTGTTTTTAAATAAGTATTAGGTATAAGTAAAATGTTCGTATTTTAATTTTGCGAATGCACTATTTGTACTAAATCGTTATGTGACTAAACAAAAATTTTTACAGTATAGTGAATTCAACTTAAATTACATATTGCTTATTATAGCCAGCAGGTAGGTACATAACACATAGTTAATCCGCCAATCATGCAAAAAATTYAYTTTTCGTAATAATATAATAATATGAATTATTAAATAATATTCATATTATACCTGTGTATATATTTTGCAATGGATAATTATTATTATTATATATGTGCAATTGTTACAATTTTTATATTTACCTACCCAGTCCAGTGAATGCATAAGCTGCAAAATTTATTCTGAAAATGTTGTATTAATCTTATTATTTTTTCATACATACTTTACTATTTTATTATGTATCCTTTTTTTTTTTATAGAATCGTGCTAGAAGATGGCTTACTGGTGGCTATTGCAGTCGGCAATGTGGTATACCGCTATTATGGTTCTGGCTAATCCTCTGATGCCTACCGTAATCTTTGAAGTTTTGCCCAAGTTGCCACTGCTTATCATTCGTCGTTTAGGTACCATTCCTTTTGAATCTATTTAACGAAAGTCAAATCACCTGTTTGGAGTCCCGTCGAAATCATGAGTTCAACACAAAGACAGCTGGAAGTTGACCCGACGGCCTTCTGACTAGTTTATATCAGTATGGACAGTGCCGTTGAAAACTACAGTCCAACCGAACAGTGTCCGATCGACGTCCAACACAGTCCGAATACAATTATGAATATTAAGGTATGCTAAAGTATACTATTTAAATACCTACATATTATAAGAAAAATTTACTTAGATTTTATTAATTTATCATTTTTAARTATGTGAAACGTTTTATTCCACAGTTGACCATGTTTAATTTATTCATACCTACATTATTACAATAAAGGAACTCTTAATCGTGTTAGTAATATCGTGATTACAAAAAAATATATTGTTTATTTAAATTTAGTTAACTTAACAGATCTTACCCTTGCAAAATATATAAGTATACCTACAATGTGTACATACAACGAAATAAGTACAATTTTAATGTTCACTTATTTTTATGGTCGGTCTATTTTACTTTTAAATGTATTATCTATGCATAGGTATATGTACAATTCAGCATTATATTATCATAACCATTTTATTATTTAAAACTACTAACAAAAATTTTTAACGTTAAGTTCACATTATTTTACTTTTAAATGTATTATCTATGCATAGGTATATGTACAATTCAGCATTATATTATCATAACCATTTTATTATTTAAAACTACTAACAAAAATTTTTAAAAGTTTAGTTCAATTTGTCTTAAAATATAAAAACATAGTACTTAAGAAAACATTTAGGTAATAGGTAATTATTATAAGTATATACTATATAGGTACTATTAGAAATATTTTTCTATTTTTATAGAATTATGTCTGCACACAATTTGTTTTTTTTCTTCGAAACACGAGTTCAGGCTCATCAATGATGAGTCATCATATAGTAAATTACCGATCAGCAGAACTAATCATGTATCATAAGCATTATGGTTTAGTTTAATAATGTTAAAGAGCATCGACCTAATATCAAACTTTAAGTTTAGAACAATATCTGTAACATCTGTGTTCTTACGTTTGMTTTTTAAAATTTACACTTTTTTTGAGATCTATATGAGTAGGTATATAAAAATATTCAAACTTATAAAAGCTGAAAATAAAAGGTTATGTACCTGCAGCTCAATATAGGTTTTTCTGAATGCGATTTTTCTATGTTGGTCAATGGTCAGATAGAGAAAATAAATTGTGCGCTAATATAATATAATTGATTTTGATTGATCTAATTTAGATAAACATCTGTACCTACATTATTTTGTATGTTTATATAAAATTAAAATATACGTATTATTTATTAATGCCTATTACCATTCTTATTGATAACGAATCATACGAGTATAGGACGTATAGGTAATACTATACATATTATAATATACTATATAGTATACATATAATATTATATATCTAACATTTTATTATTCTTATTATTGAGAGGAAAACAAACAGTTAATATTTTAATGTGTCATGGAATTTCTTTTTATAGTATATATTGAATAAATAATATTATATTATCATTAAGAAAGTTCCTATTTTACAAATATTCTTTATTAATTTAATAATCATGAATTATTATAGGCAGATGCTAAATTTATATAGTTAAATTATGATTAAAATACAATTAAATGTGTTAATAGGTACCAATTGGTTTATACTAACAATATATAATGAAACATTCTAGAGGCACGTTAAAGTATCAGTATTATTTAGAAAACTATTTAACTTTATATTCTTTGTATAATTAGTTAATAGCCGTATTACTCAAACAGTCAAACATATTAGGTACTAAAATTCATAAGAAAATAACTCGAGACATTTTATGCCTATACTTAATTTTTTAATTTAATATCGTGGAAACAATAACGTATAAAATATAAAAATTAAAAATACAGACATTTTACTTATATTTAAAAAGGGAATAACATATTTGGCAGTATATATACAAATACTTGGAATGGAGAGTATTTGCAAATGCATTAAGATATTTATAGGAGTGATAATTATATTTCCAATAACTTCCTGGATTGTGAGATTTATTAAGTGTGAAGACAATACAAACAGCTTTACTGTTTATCTTCAAGGACTTAAAATCTATACAGTGTACAGTCACTGTAGAATGTTGTGATAGAGATTTTATGTTTTCTTAATTTTTAAACACTTAAGGTAAATAGAGCGTGTATGTTTACTATAGCTGATAGGCATCACCAAGGTGTGGGTACACATTTCAAGGATCCGTAATATTTAAATTAACTACCGTAGTAAAAGACCTATAACAGCTATTAAACATAAGTACATGACCAGACAGATAAGCAATGTTAATTTAACTAAAATAATAATAATAACATTTAAAAACAAAATATTTAAAGTAATAACTTATTTATTTGTTCTAATGAAATTTTTTTTTTTCAAACAAAATATGTACATACCAGCTAGTTATAGGCAAATTAAATATTAATATTTTTATTTTTATAACATTTTAATTCGAAAACTATGTTCTTAAAATTGTTTCTAGTTGAGGATTAATTCACACATTACACATGTGTTAAAATAAACGATAAATAATATTGATTAATGGTAATTTAATAGAAATACGAAGAACRCCTATATATTATTATTATTATAGTCTATTACATTGTCGGACATTTTGTCATTTCAATGTGAAGGTAATATGTGCCTATTAACTTAACGAATTTGCATTTCATAAATATGTTACTGTAAAATGCTATATTCCAGTGTTTATAAATTAGTTATTAATAAGATATTCAAAACCGTACAAAACTGTCAATCGACTATAAGACGTCTCTCCGCATCTTTAAGTATAGGTACAGCTAATACACGATATACGTAAAACGGTATGTTATTGAATTTATATTTAATTTTTTTTTTTAAAGCTAGAGTATAATAAATATGTTAAAAGTAATAAAATAAATATCAATAGTGCAGCAAGAAAACATGGAATTATTTCGTGGTCTAACAATAATTTTATAACCATAATTTGATCACTTTGGAATCTATTTAAAATTAAATTCTTACTTCCTACACATTGATTATATTATATTATGCGCGAATAAAAAATTCGGAACACTGAAAATAATCGTAAATTGTAATTTATAGGTCCCATAATTTAATTAGTTAATTGTAAATATCATTTAAATTAATGACACTTGAGTTGCAACATTCAGATTTATTTATTTTTTCATTTGTTCTGAATTTCGTTATTATTAATTATACAGATAAAAAATGAATATGCATTACAAATAGTTTGTTTTYGTGAGTTAAATATTCTATGTAAATAGTTGTGCATGAATAGTCAAAAATCATAGTCCAAACACAATAGTCTAATTTAATATGCAGCCATACACGTTTTAATTAACCTGACTATGTATATATATATGTATATGTATATGTATATGAATTCAACGTAAAAAAAGTTTTCATAAGAAAATAACAACAACGACTAGGTTATCGAAGAAAATAATTTATTTATATGGTATTGTGAGTAAATAAGAACTGAAGGTTAAGAACCACTTTGTGTTTTGATCTGTATTGGAACATTATTCAGTCGTTTCCAAGTCGTCAGTAATCTATGGTTGTATGAGGTTCATAGAGAACGCTGTTGAAGAGAAACCAATGTACAAAATCTAAACTATACGAAATTAATTTTGACTTTAATCGCTCCACATAAATTGACCGAAGTGCGGTACTGCGATAAGAACATTCTTGTTTTAGTGTTAAATTTTTATTGTTGTTCCATATCACGAGTTTTGTTGACCAAGTGCAGACGTATATAAACCGAGTTTTGAAATATTTCAAGCTGTAGTTGTTTATAATTATTATATTGAAGTGCACCGAATTTTATCCACATAAGAATATTTTAATTGCAAGTAATTTTACTTTTTTATACGCGCTAAATATAAGTGAATCGTTAGGTATATTTTGACAGACAGGAAAAGTTGAGTCGTATTCGCAGGAATATAATACATATATATTATAGTGAGTATTAAATTTTTCTAACAGATACAACAAATTATATAGTTATTAATTAAATAAATAATTTAAATAGAACAACAAGGTTATTTTTGTATTATTTATTATCRTATTTTTAATTTAATTTTTCAAAAATACATTAGTACCTAATTATAACATRAAATGTATACATATATTGTACATTTATTCAAATATAAATTAAACGGTTATTTTAAATTTTTAAATAAAATAAATTTCCTATTGGTGCTTTTACATTATATGTACTTTAAAATAATAATGGATGTACTGTATAATTAAGATTAAACATCTTGAGTTCTAAATTTCTAATAATTTTAATAATTGTTTATTATTGATACGCTGAAATGTTGAATACAACAAACATTGAGTAGATGTTCTATAATTTCAAGCTAAACGTAATATTTGTATTATTTAAGTATGGTGCAGATTGTATATATTATTGTGTAAAATAATAATAATAATAAAAAGTAAATTTAAAGTTGGGCACTTTTACCTGTATCATTAAATATCATAACAAAGAGATTAAAAATATATATTATACATATTATAGTAAAAACAGCTGCCACTGTATATATAATATATTTTTACGATATTTATGTTGGAAAGTTATAACATTTTCTTTTTAAATACTTATTTTCATAAGGTGAGTAAATTTAAGTAATATACAGTATTTGTGTTACTGTTAAAGACAGAAACGATTTTCTTTATCGATACTACTCCAAACGTTTTTATTTTTTCTTGTGTTGCTGTCCGCAATACACCTTGGACTTACAAAGCAAATACATTTCAGCTAATTGTTTCTTTGAAAAGAAAAACGATTATAATTAAAATAATTAGAGATTATAAATTATGTAAGTTCCTTTATCATACAATTACGACTATTTAAATAAATATACATATTTTGTCTTTCTACAATTTTTATATTTTATAGTATTTTAATTTTATCATGACCTCTAAAAATTAAAATTTAACAGCAAATATAATTCACTAATCACTTATTATAATTTATTGCATGCAATTAAAATTTACTTAATTAAAATATCGATATTAAAATGTAACAAAAACGTTTAAAATATCAGTTTGACTAAATTAACTACTTTATTTTGTTTACGTTTATAGTTGTATTACAAATTACATACATTTTAAGATTATATTATTTTTTGATTTTACATGTTCTTATCTTTACTTATATAAGTTTAAAGTATTAATCGGTTCTGCATAAAATATAAATAATGTAAAAACAAAACACATTAATTTATATAGTAATTCTCTGCGGATACATTTTTATTCCATCAGTATTACCTTTATACTATACGTTCAAGGCAAATTTGAATTGATTAAATAAACTAGTTTGACAACTTTTTACGCAACTTTGTTTATTGTCTATATTATATTTTATAATCATAACAACAGAAATATCATAACTTAAATATATATTATTAATTTATGAGATGCTTGATTGAATCGCATCCTGATAATTTTAAACAACATCTAGATAATTCAATAAGACTTACTAATATGGAAATATCTAAACAAATACACAATTTATATATATTCATCTTTTTAATGTAGTAATATATGGTTTTGTGTAAAATGTTGAATTAGGTATTTTATTATTGATGTAGAACAATTCTTGTATTCAGTATCTACCTACTGTAATATAA